CTTAGGGCATGATGCACTACTAGTTTTACACATAATTTGATCGTTTGAATCTTTCATATACATTTGATCTCGTTTATATCATTCCTTCACTGCTAATTTAAACCTATATAATTGCTAAAATTTATAGGCCTATCATGTGATAAGCTATATTTTTGTCTTATTACTTATTTATTGTTAGAAGAAATAATTTGTAAATGTATCTACTGTAAATTCCAAGTTGGCATTACCTAAATGTACCAAAATTACTACTTTTATCCTTGCTATTTTATATTTTTGTAGAAGATTAGTAAGATAATAAGGCAAGCTTATCCCATAATATTTCTATTTATGTTTTGTAAAGCTTTTTGACTACCAAAGCACGCACACCACGGCAAATCATTCGTCCGATTAGCATGTATAAATTTGCAAACCAAATTTTCAATTTATTTATTGCAACTAATTAGATTTCATGTTTTTGCAAACAGTTTTTTGCTGATAATAAATCATAACATCACACAACGACAAAGCTTGCGCTTATGATAGTGATTCTATTTCACTCAATTATGTTATTAAATCCAATTTGTTTTTATAAATTATAAAAATAGTAAGTTGTTGATTACATAAGTGAATTCTCAACAGTTTATCTAAAACTAAAAAAATATATATCCACACATATCTTTTAAACGGCACACTGCATTCTGGTATTAATATGTAATTATGGCATTCCACGGTGAATCGTTGGAATTATAAAATTATAAAAAATGACTCTGCATGTGATGACCTTTGCCGGTGAACGAAACTGGATGGATGGGTCTTGACAAGAGTGTTCGCAACTTTATAAATAGACAGGGGAAATAAAAAATTACGGTTTTTAAGTCCATTTTTCAAAATAGTAATCTTTGCTAAAGGCTTAAGTCTATTTTCTTCTATATTTTGTGTATCGAACAAATATTTGATTCAGATCTGATAAACCAGGAAAGGGTCTAATTCTTTCAGACGCGAATTCTGTTAACTCATCAGTACATTTGGTTGTTTCCAAAGCAATCAAATTACGCATGTCATGATCGATATCACAATTGTTATGCATTTGTATTGCTCATCTATAATAATTGCATATTTTTGGTAACATACTTGTGCAGTTTTTAATATCGATAAAGGAAAATAATTTTGCATATGTAAGTCAGTTCTAGATTAATTTGGAAATATTAAAAATTTCTCCTAAATGCTTAAAATTTTTGCACGCGCATTAAATATTTTATTATAATAGTTTTATTATGTTTTTGAAAAAAAAAATGGATCTACTGTTACGATTTGCTTTGTTTTTTTTTAACATTTTAAAATTAAATCGACATTCCGAGTTTGTCATGATCAATTCTTGTCACTCCCAATTCCTTGTATTTTGCATCTTAGGAATGTGTTATTTATAAAAAATCGTTTGAAGTCAAAATTTCTGAGCAGGAATTAAATGTCTTACCGCAGATTCTGCGGTTAATTTTGAGACTGCCTTAAGTCTGACACCATGACGTTGGAATGTCCTTCCCAAAGTTCACTATGATATTTATACTTTGTCAGTTTTATTTTTAATATAACAGATGAAATTTTAAATTCTTGTGTGTATATATATTTTCTACATGATGTTGCTATAAAGTTGCTTCATGTTGGGGCGAATGGTGAATCCTCGAAAAGAATGCTGTTTTGCTTTTCGTGGATATAGAGGGGGCGTTTGTTCTTTGTCAACCTGTCAATTGCAGAACAGCACGCCCCAGAACACCCCTTGAAACACTGGTGGCGATTGTACGGAACCCATTGAACAAATAATATTGCTGGACATTTTTTGCTATTTTACAGAATTTAAACTAAAAACTATTATTCTGATTTGCTTGTGTTTTATGTATTTCACGTATTACTACTTCTCATTTGCTTATCGTGTGCTAATGAACACAGTAGGCATACGTTTTGCTCGAGGTTTATTTTTCAAAACTTTTAAAATTAAATTACTTCCCGTAGGCCTATAATATTTTAAACTTCGGTTTGAATAACAACTCTATCACCAAGCTTCATCAAAATCCCAGAAGAGTAAACCTGAGGTTCTCCTTGTAAGAGATAGTATTCTCTATCGTGGACTGAATCTAACAGGCAACTATACATTTCTAATTTTGGTACCATATTTTTGACAACTAAATTTCTACTCTAAAATATGTTTCATTTTTAGTTGTGACTCGTGCTTGACATTAAGTTTACCGTCACTGCTTTACGTAAAACTGGACTTGTTTCCATCTGCTGATGGGTCGACTCAGATACTGTACATAACATTTACGTTTCATAAACGTATTTTAATGATTCGGCAATAGTTAAAGAGGGATATTCACATTTTTTATTTAAATTTGCACATTTTTTGTAATTGTTAGACAACTATCTAAGTTATTTATATAAGTTGGAAATAAATAATTATATTTATATAATTAAACCTAAAAACTCTAATTATATTTCATATAATTAAACCATAAGGCAACAATTCAAATTGGTTCTTTACCATTTAGATGGCTGTAAAATGAGTACTAAGTATGGAATATAGTATTCAAATGTTATTTGTAAGACTGTATGATGAAAGTTATCAAAAGAATTTGTTTTATGATAATACGGAACCTTATATTTGCATTCGACTGGATCTTATTCCATCCCGGATTCCTTTAATCCGGTAGTCGTTCCACGAGACAAGTTGACGCTCATCATTTGCGGCGCCGGATTAACAATAAATCATATCTGAAACGGTAGAAGAATTAACTAGCACTTTTGACGGCAAACATCGCCCTTATTTGGGTGTGTCCCAGAAGAATTATAATCATACACGGCATGAGGTTAACACGTACACCTACTCTATAATAAAAATCGAGGGATGCCTAATAGAAACCTATAACATAGACCAGGATTGCTAATTATATGTCAGAATGGAACGGGCAATTTGTCTTGCAGGAGATTGTTTTTCGGCGTTGTGACGGACACACTGCTTTCCTTAAATTATTGATCATTTTTATTCTCTTCGCAAATTTGGAAATTGGTCATTCTAAGTCATCATGAAGTTTATTAAATATATATTTATCGAAGTATCATAATACGACCTTTGTGAATTTGCTTATGTTTTTAGCAAAACTGTGAAACATCCACATTTGCTTTCACAAAACCATGAGAAAATTTACTTTTATAAAATAAATTGGAAGAATGTACTTTTTTTTACTTCTGACCCAAATTCCGTCAATTTTCTTGAAACTTGATCTTCAATTTTCTTCTTCACACTCTTCATACTTTTTATCCATCAACTTAACCATACTGTGCTTTTTAAATTCTAAAGCAATTTTCTTTTCACACACATTAGGTCATTCATCACGATCACATAATTTTCGTCGTCGATTTTCATTGGATCTAAATCTACATTGGATTTACATTTTTTTCGGGGAACCCATAAAATATATAATCGTTTTATATAATACAATCGCAAAAAGGTATTTAATTTTACCAAAAACGCTCAAAGACCTCTTTGGCTTGGATGATTACTGGTGGCAGCGGTTTTGTGGTTTTTCGACAAATTTATTTCTTCTTGAAAAGTGATAAATGCTAGGATCAGCAGTTTGATGATTGACATCGGAGAGAATTATAAACCTGTTATTAACTTAAATATATTTATATATATATATATATATATATATATATATATCTGTGTGTGTGTGTGTGTTTGTGGGTCTATATATACAGAGGGCAAAGATAAAGTTGAGGGTTGATGTATAAAATATTTTCTAACCACGTCAACACGAGTATAAGGGCTAAAAGTGTCATGTCATGCTCTACTACGAATTAAGTATGTTTAACATCATGACTGTTCAAAATTACCATGTGCAGAAAAATAAACCATTTTGCTACCCTAGATACACCAAATTCATTAAATATACTAAAAGGGTGTATAAATAATTTTCGAAAATTATTGGGTTCTAAAACTGCATTTTATAATAATTACACATTAAAATTTTAATTAATATCAAGCCACTGATTTCAAAGCTGTTTTTGCGAGTCCCAGTTTAATTTTTTTTTTTCGACAAGACTTTATAAAATAAATAAATATTATTATTGTTCTTGCCACGTGCAGTCTTCTCTAATGTGTTATTTCTGATTTAATGACCAAAATACTTCTTACTAAACGTTACGGACTTCATCACACGCCCAAATTACGTTTTCATTGCCCGTTCTCAAATTTGATTTGATTTTTTGAACCGTTAGATGCTAAGCGATTTATCATGAACCTAAAAATGAAAAATGTAATAATTATACCTCATCAACAGTGGATTCTCGACATTCTTTTAGTTTAAGGAATTTTTATTGCATTTTCTATATTTTAGATTTAATTATTGCTTGTAATCTAGTTTTTATGAATACATGTATAATTAATAATCATTTTGAAAATTGTTTTATTGCATTTAATTATAACCGATGCTAGTTGTTCTTAAACAAACATATAATATAATATATAAATAAAAGTTAAAAAAAAACAATAGTGAAGAATGGGAATGCGTTTTGTTAAATTATTAATATATTGGCATATTTTTGACAAACTTTATTGTTTATTCTATTTGATTAAAAAGTATTTAAAATGGTCGTTATTAATTTAATAAAAAAATCTCGTACCATCCTAATTCTAGTTGTGGTTTGACTTAGATCACAAACCTGTCTTTGGCCACAAAATTCATTGTTATTATATTATATGCGTTGTATGTGTGTAAATATGCGTATGTATACGTTTTATTTAATAACAAACAGCATATGAGATAAAATCTAATATTTGCAGAGTTGTCAGAAAGCATGGTAGATAAACAACTAGGTACTTATCTCACCAATATCCACACAAAGATTTCTCGTTATTTGCCAACATATTTTTTCGCTTAAAATTCATGCTTCGATCCAGAGATTTTATAAATTATAATATTAATGTTAAATGTTATTATTTGTTACTAATTTGTTCATTTGTTTTTCAGATCCGCCAAGAAAAACCCTACTACATAGCCGACCCAGAAGTAGACTCATTGGTAAGTGGAACTTCTTTTTGTCTCCAAGTGTTACTTTTCCCGATTATTTTGTAATCAAATTTCAGAAGCGCGATTATCGTCCGCCCTTGCGCTAATGCATATAATATTTCATCCATATATGGATGGTCCCTTTATTATATTATCACCTTAACTCACCCTTAATATTATTTTATTAGAAAACCAGGCTACATCCATTGTGTTTTACTGTAATTACTAGAGGGATAACATCACTCTGATGCACTCCCGTTGGACTTAGGGGTTGGTGCGATTATTGATCATTACTTAGGAACTAGATGCATATCTCAGCACTTTTTGGGGTTCGGGGTTTCTTGGAAACTAAAATTCATTATTAAATTGACTCATAAAATTTTTGTACTTCTCCAATAATTATGTGGTTCGTTTTTAGATTTCAATTGGTTTACAGAGATAATTTTATTATGTCTAGATAGCAGGAAACAGTATTTACAGTTTAATAGTTTAACTGTATCAGAATTTTATAATTCTATTCAGTTTTACGATTTCAAGATGATCAAATCAGTTACGTCAGGGAAAACGCTGTCCTGGGAAGGAGGTCAAATCGCATCATGGAAGTAAATAAATAAAGAAACCTGTTTGCATAAAATACAGAATAAATGTTTCTCTTAAAATTATCGTATTGACTATCACTGAAAATGTTATGTGATGATTTCCAAAATGTGCGCGCCGTGCGTTTTCAAAGGCACATAATTAGATCTCGCGCGAGTACGGCGTAAATATTGGGGAAACGACTCTAATAACCAAGATCAAGTTACTTTCAAAAGATAGCATCCAAATTTAACATCAATCATATAATACGGATACAATAGAAAGCACCCCCAAGATGAAGAAAATATCGCATTTCGAAAATGACCGGCGGGAATCAACGTTTTTTTAAATGATTTACACATTTTGTAGTAATAAAATTAGAACTTAGAAAATATAGTAAAAAATTTTTTCTAGCCGGTGAACAGTTCTAAGTAAATTTGATAAATAAAGATTTTCACTTTGTCAGCAATATGTTTATAATATTGATGAAATCATGTTCTACGCAGGTACTATCACATATTCCAATATACCAAGGAATTTTTGCATCGTAATATTTGCAAGCACAATTAATAAATATTAAAGAAATTGCCTCAGAGATCAAGCAGCACAAAATTTAGTGCTTCGTAAAGAGTAAAACTTTTAAAACCGCAAATACTGTTGATGCGATCATATTGTTGTCTTCTCAATCTAAAAGACATGATTGAAATTTTAATATTCAAATAAATTAGTATGTAGTATGCATGTGCATATATTAATAACCTAATCATGCTAATGTGTTCCTGATGCCTATTTTTTATGAAGTTATAAAAATATGTATACGTACGAGTTTATACTTTTTTCGGTTTACAAAGTCATTTGCATATGTTAATTGTTATCACATTGTCCGTACATTTTGTAAACTTCAAAAATAATAATTAATGCAGCGCGCGCTTTTACATTTCTTATTAACGTTCTGTCCATTATTTTTTTGTAATTTTTTTCGTGGCATATGCACGAAAATAATTGATCCATTAAATACTCGTTTGAAGTAATGCGTCTGGTATTTGGAATGATAACTGGTATATTTAATTATTAACCTTTGTGTAATGAATATATTTACACATAACAGTTTTAGACAAAAAAAACTATCGAAGTTTTTCCAGTTAGACTACAAGATTTCACAAATATTATATGAAATATTTGGTTCTTAGCCAACGTGTTCATTGTTGTATGTGAGTCTCAAATGTTCCTTAACGATCTGGCCTACGTGCTTCTATAAATCAACACCTAGAACACATTATATGCAAGATCAACTAAGATGAATAACTCTATTTTTACTTCAACCACAACGAGTTCATTTGTGTTGCTAAAATAAATTGCAGATTACTTTGAATTCTGCGGAGCGTCAACCTTTGCATTTGCGAATAACATTACGTCGGCATATACCTACCTGGTCGAGGAATTAATTGCGGAACAAACTGGAGAAACATGAAACGATTTTTAAAAAGTTTACATTTTAAATCTTGTCGCTTTTTTATCCCGTCGTTTGTCGAAAATCCAAAATCATATTTGAATACCAAACAGATATTTATTCATTTATATTATTTTATAATCTGGAATTTTAGAATCTAACGTAAATAATATTTTTAATATGCAAAAATAATCAATCAATTTACTTTTTTTATTATCAAATCAATATTTAAATCTTCATCAATTAGTATTTTCGCGGAATGTCCACATAGAAGAATAATTTTTATTAAATAATCTCCTTGCGTCATCACTTCGTTCTAGAAATGTTTGAATGTTTAAAAAAACAATTTAGATGCTAATTCTGTCTCGGTATTTAATACCTAGCCACTGTAAAATTAAGCTACTGCTGTATACATAAGTCTAATTTTTCTTTAAATGACCGACAAATGATTTTACGCATCAAAAAATATACACACACATGTAAATGATTTTTTTTTCTCATCCATAAACTTAAAAAAAAATATAATCCTGTATAGCTATAACCGTATATTGCAAAGTGTTTTGTAGTGACAAATATATGTAAATATCTGTTTTGAGGCAAAAATGTATGTAATGTAGAGCGAGGCACAAAGGTTCAATTTGACAATTTTGACAATTTTGACAATTTTGACAATTGAAGTAGTTATAGTATATAAACCAAATGAACTACATCACAGCACGTAACACAGATCAAACAAACAACTATCGTACTGTGTTCAGCAAAATTTCTAGTTAATTCCTTATTATAGAAATGTGTTTTCTACTACTTTTCTAAAATTTGTCATCTGCCCCTTTTTACCCCATACGTGGGGGTGAAATGGGACAGCCAGGGGGCAAACAGATCCAATGCCTCATTTTTAATTTTAAAAGAATTTTACGAAATAATATCTACATTATTCAACCAATGCAAAATATAAATTTCATGGGTACATTTTTTAAAAGATAACACTGCATATAACCTTGATCTAGTATTTCGTCAGGAATATTCACTAGAGATGGAACAACTATTCATTTAACTTATATCTTGTAAAATTGCTTTTTTAGCTTAATTCACTTTTTCATTTACTTTTTTTTTATTGTTTATACCTTTGCCAGGGATAAAGGTTTTAATTGGTTCTTTTTACCTCGCCTCCCACATGTAAGCTTTTATAGAGGTTATATAAAAAAACTGGTGAATCCAATTTGACAGCCAGTAGTAGTTGTCCAATCCAGATTTGAGATCTATAACCTCAAGGGGAGTTTGACATCAACTCTGCTTGATCGGACTTCGAACCATCGAACCCGGTTCTAGTTTGTGCTAACCCACGTCCGAACTGATTACGCCTCCGCTGGACCTATCATTAGATATAGCAATATAATTTGCACTGAAAATACGGGTTTGGAAAAAATCGTAGCAGTTAAATCGATAAGTGACTTCATCTAACAAATAATTGTATGAGTAATTTAGGTGTCGGTTGCCAGTCTTGGTCGTGCAGCATGGATTTTATATTGTTGTGTTTGGAATACAATCCACAATGGTACTAATTCTGTACGTTATGGTGTTGAAACATTAAAAAATCTCGTAAATAGATATCGAATAACATTAACACTAGTGAGCGACCAATATTATAATTAGTTTAACGACCGTGCCGAACACGATCCACTTGAATCGGTTTACGACGCAACAACGAAGTAACCCTACACCGCGCGCCCGAGAGAATTTCGGTAAACGTAATCTATCTCGTATTAATCGCGACACTTTTATGATCCAGGTCCTATTTCACAAATAGAATCGACACTATTTCAGTTTTGAGACATAAGGAAAAATTAGATGGTACAGCGCGAGGACTTTAAATTTATACTTCCGGACCGAATATGATAAGATCAAAAATTGTATGATTCTTTAAAAAATTCATTCCATA